GGATACAAAATGAAAGTAAGGTAACAGCAAGTTAATAAAAGGGCAAGAATACAAGTTCTGTAATAAAGAAGTGATGAATTGAAGCAGCAAAAGAAAAGATTAAAACACAGAAGCTTTAATATAATGTAGTTAGGAAAGGAGGCTGTAAACAAATGTAAATCATCAAGCAGTGACAGACAGAAGTGAATTAGAGCAGAGAGAAAAGGTGAAAAATGAAAACAAAAATATAGATGGCACATTCCCATTTAGTAAACAGTCCATTGAAGGGCAGAAGACTGAACAATAAATAAAACGCATTTTCATTTCCTATTCTTCTGTTTTACTGGAAGAAAATAAATGCCAAAGACACAGTTGAAATTAGGTGAGAAACAAATGGATACAAGTCAGTATGCTTAATAGCCTGAAAATCCTATCTAGCCATTAAACATATTTTAGCCTGGATTCCTAAAGAGTAGCCTTATGCATATGTGTTCTCCAACTGTCTAGCTCTCTCTCATCCTTACTAGCTTTTGCCAAATTCAACCAAGAGTGTCTTGGAGATATTAAACATTTCTTATTTCAAGGGAAACAGCCGCTACGAAGAGGCAAAAAATCCAAATCAATCCCTACCCACCAATGACAGAAGATTGCAGTACACACACAGATGTTCTCTCTTCTGCAACTAGTAAATAAACATTGCACAGTTTATAAGCACAGATGCAGCACAGAAGCACCCACAGGCCATGCTGCTTCTTGTTCAGCTGGTAGCTGGAGATGGAAGGAGGAACTAAGAAAACTGGTGATCTGTCGAAGGCTCATCAGGGACCTTAAAAAACATGGGAAGTTGTGGGGCATTGTAAGAAATGCTGGAGGGAGGTGAAAATATGGTAAAAGTGAGCTAGTGGAGAAGAACTGCAGTGTGAAGACATGGGGAAATAGATCTCCTAAGGACCAGGGTATGGGCTAAGGCTACTGTGGAAGGGAAGTCACAGTACAGAGGGAGAAGAAGCAGAGCCCTTACAGCATGGTGCTGTAGGAAAGTAGGGTATGAATCCCTGGGAAGCCAGGCTTTCATCCACCCACTCCTCCTGAAACTATATTTCCTTAGTATACATACAGACTTCACTAGTGTATTGATAAAGCCTATATAGAATGAAATGCTATTAAACTACTAAATGCTCACAGGCACTTAGAACAGCGTTTGAGGGAGTCATTTATAAAGTACAAATCTGTAAAGGAAAACAAGTGGAAGCTCTATCATCCTTGAGGTAAAAGGACACTTTTCTAATATTACTGTGGTGTAAATCAGAAGTAAGACCAAGTTGATCTGATGTGAGAAGTTTTATAATCTTTGACATCACATAAACATGCCTATGTTGTACAATGATGTCTACATTTTATTATTTTAGCTATGCCAAGAATTCTGGATATTCATTTGTGAAGAACAGCTTCCACTAGCACTTTAAAAAATAGTAACCAGAAGGTCATCAACAAGGGAATTGTGAGAATAATATATCATGAATAATGTATTAAATTATTTCTGTCTTTATCTGTTAATGAATTATCTTCAATCATCTTATAATTTTCTTGAATGTATTTGTAATTCAAAAGTACTCCCCATGCAATTTCTCCAAAAAATAGTTTCTCTAAATTTTTCTTGGTCTTTTTGTGGATAGAAAGTAGATGGAATTTGAATTGGTTTGGTTGTAATAGGACATACAGAGTAGGAGTTTCTTTTTCTGCTCTCTCACAAACACATACCTAAGAATCCTGTTACCTATATGGCATTAAACTTTCAACCATGGAATCTCTTCCCCTATTTTTTTTTATTTTTTTTTTAAACCTTCCATTTTGACCAGTACCCTAACGTCATATGCAGTGCGCCAGGGCAGTCACTGAGATTCAATAGCTTAGGTCTGCTGCCTGTTCCTGGCACAACTATTTCTTCCTAAAAGTTCAACCTCTTGAAGAATTTAGGTGCTGAAAAGTCATAAAAAGAATGTTCTATTTCAGAACACACTGAATGGTAGCAGTGAAGTAGCTGACGAGAGCTTTTTTCCTGTGTCACACTATAATTCCCAATAACCTTAATGGGAATCTTTGGCGGTTCCTAAAGGTAAAGAAAAATAAACCCACAAAATTTTCATTCCTTTTTCCAGCACATCAAATAATATCTTATACCCCAATGAGGCTTTTTAGATATTGTGACTTGACTGTATCTTTACTTCTAATACTTTCAGTTATAATAGTGACAACCATACCTGCATTGTAATCCTGCAGTCATAATATGAGCAACTGAAAAAGAGATTATTTTTCATTTTCATGACATGATCACAGAACCAATCTATACTGACAAGCCAAATAAAACCAGCATATTTGTATAGATACTTAGCGCACGCAACTCCTTCCAGGGTGCAGAGATGTGCAGAGGTCCCTTCCATGTGAAGACTCAGCAGCCTTTTCTGAAATATCTAGGGGTGAAAGAGTCTTACTGATTTGGAAAACAGCGTCAAAGTCTGGCTCATTTTGAAACTCAATTTTTCATCATTGACTGTGATAAGTGTCTGGCAAGTCTATATTATCAGCCCAAACTCCACGGCCCTCTGGAGACACTCCTATTGCTGCATCTTCAGCAATAACTTTTTGGGCCTGGGTTAGTGGCATCCAGCTGGCATCTTTAATAATTTCTCAGGAATTAAAATATGTGTGCCTGCCTGAGACACGAGTAAAGAACATTCACAGAATTATGAATTCCCACATTCATATCACGGCTGTGGTTTTTGAATGCCATTTAAAATAGGTTTCTAATAGGCAAAATGCGTCCATCTGCATCTCAAAATCACAGCACAAAATGACAAAATTTCTAGCAAGCTGAAAAGAGAAAAACAACTTTGTGCCTTCTGAATAAATAGCAGTGAATCTGTTTGAGTCTTTCTCCAAGTTCCTAACTCTTTTCTCTTGGTCACTTGACCGCCCATTTTATTGGCACAGTCTGAAGATTTTTCCCACTCTTTAGCAATATGTGATGCCACCAGCAATCCTGCCTAGGGCTTTGCCTAGCACGCAGCACTGTGCAAGGGAGTTCGTGAAGTCCCCTGACAGACTTTGGTCCAGGCTCTGACCATGGTACTACAGCAGCTGCAGACCCTCTTCTGACTGCTTCTTTTGCTAACTTGATCCCCATGGAGAAAAACCCTACTGGGAGGACACAAACATCTGTAATCAATGCTGACATCTAAGCACAGTCAGTGAAATATTTTGGGTTCTTTGGCATAAGTTCTGGCAAGCAACAGCTCACAGAGAAACACATTATTAGGGCTTTTTTTTCCTGGAAACATCAAGCATACTTTAATCCAAGTACTATTTTCTTGTGAATAGAATCAAAGAATTTAGGAAAGTGTTCAGGGACAGAGTTCCCAGATTCGATTTTAATTAAAGGCTATAAATACTCATAAAGGGAGGCTGGCACTCAGCTTTAGGCATCAAGCTGAGTAATCCTCATCTGGAGCTGGTTTGTATTTCTATGATCATGTTAGATCTTGATAAGACAGTGAGTTATTTAAGGCAGAAACTTGGAAAATCTCCATCACATCAGAACAAAGCACATTCTACCAGGCTTTTTGATACCAAAACAGGTCAGGCAGGATTATCTCCAGATAGTTCCAATACCAACTGGACCTCCACCTCAGCTCCCAAAGGACAGTATTCTCCAGTGACTTCAAACAGGTGTGAAATCCTGCCTGGCCCCAGCTGCAGTGAGCACAGAACTGCCACCAGACAAAACTAAACATGCAATTCCTAATCTGGTTGCTAGAACTCAGTCAGTGATCACCCACAATGAGCAAGGATCAACAGTAAAAGAAAGGAAAAGTCCCTTAGCAGTACTTGCACAATCCCCCCAAAGGCAACTGAGGAGTGTGATGTGCAGTAGATATGCTGTATCACACAGACACAGGCATGCCTGCATGAATCAGAAAGACTGAATCCAGTGAGCACAGTCTCAGCACGTGAGCCTTTATGTGAAAGCAGAAAATAAAAAGGGAGGGAGAGGAACTAGCAATCACAAAAACTTCCTGGCATCAGCTGACTCAGCAAGGGCAGAAAGGATACATCTAATTTTAATCTTTCTTCCACGTGAGTGGTTTTTCCTCCCCCTCAAACACAGCGAAGGTGCTTTCTCTGACCACAGACTGTTCAGCAGGGACACTGCCTGACTTAGTAAAGGCGATTTATGCTCATTTGGTAAAGTTGCCAATCTCCATTTGCAGGCTCGGACAGCCTGTACAGGCTTACAAATGGGGAGCCATGGTGGGAAAAGAGGGGTAGACTCCAGTCCATATAAAGACTGCCCCTTCCAGTAGCGCATCTTTGTCCAGGTATGCCAGATCCTGAGCATCTCAGCCTCCTTCCCGGCTTTTGCAACTGCTCTTTTAGCCTATTTTGGCTCTATGCCTCAAGCATCCGCCTGCACAGCTACCACACAGACCTTCTTTCAGACAGTCTTCTCCAGAGGCTCCTTATTCCCATTGGGAATGACCTCCAAAACTCGACAGCCTTTCCCTGTTGTAGATTATTTTAAAGATCACTTTTCCACAGAAGTGTACAAAATTACCATTAGATCTGTGGTTTTTATATGCATATATATACATATTTATATATGTATTTATATATTTAAAAAAAATGTAGCTTACCCCAAAATGTGTTCATTGGATTTGAAGTTAGAAAGGGAGAGAACTCCCATTGCATTTTACCTTCACAATGCTGGTGGAATGGTTGAATAAAGTGTGGCCCCGCTGCCCATATGCCATTCAGCTTCTGTCTGTCTTTTTGTTTACACTGGGAATACAATAGGAACTATAGTCCTTCCAATGCATCATTTATAAGTGTATTCTACCTCTGAATGTACAGACAGAACTGGCTCTGTGAATGAGCTCTGTGAATATTGCCAAGACACTGTGCTTTGTTCAGCATTATTCTTCACAATAGATACCACACTTTGGAAGTAATTTTAAAAAGGGAATCAAAATAGTGGTACTTTTAGCCTTTGTTTCTTTTATACCACACTGCATTCTCTGTCTCTCACTCAGCTGCTTCTATTATACTGACAAATTAAATAAACCACTCCATTGCTAAAGAGGCTTGGGCGGGCTGGGCTTCGGTGCACTGCCGCACTAGGAAGTCGAAATAAACATTTATACAGGATTTATTCTCAAAAAAATTAAGGAAAATTTAGTCAAGAATTTATTTTTTTTTTCCCAATGGATGAATGAAAGACAGAGGGAAAGGGGGAAAAAAAGGAAGGAGTACTTCAAATTTTTGAGCTGACCTGCAGCACCAAGGGATCTGGCATCTGGAGCAATGGAGTAATGAGAAGCCATGTATCCAGGTAATGAGCCTGCTTTTTTAGTGCTCCACTATTTAGAAGCGCTGCAAATTCATTCCTGCTGAGGGGCCTCTGGGAGAGTGACTTGGTGAGTTACCGGCAGAGTGGTGCGTGCAGGCAGTGTCCGCTGCAGGGGCTCACTGTGAGCAGCTTGCAAACTTCCACAGCAAACTTCCAAATCAATCTGGGAGTTTGCCTCTCCTGCTGTAGGCATTGCTCTGTTTTGCAAGGTGCCTTGTTTGCATGCTGTTCAGCATACAGAAATAAAGGCAGGTGGGGGAGTGCTGGGAAAAGTGTGCGGTAGGGGGATGGCAGGTCTGGCTGCTTACAGGTGTATATTTATAGCTAGCTAGATGGTTGATAGATAGAAAAATATGTTGATTTGTATTTTGGCCGTAGATTCATGTTCCCATCTCATCTGTTGCAAAAAGAGAAATAAGAAACCGAGGAAAGAGTGGCAATGCAACATTACCTGCTTCAAGGTGCTTTCTGACTTTCGGCTCTTTTCTTCAGCAGGAAGTAAAGAGAGAGGAGAACTGGGGAGCAATATGTGATGCTCTGCTTGTGTGTAGATTAGGTGTGAATCGCTAAAGTGCTGGTATGGTACCAGGGATGTATGCTCTTTATAAAGGTTTGACAGTGAAGTCCTGTATTCTCAAAAATACTGTCAAATGAACAGCATTATCTTCCCAAACAAGACTGGAGTAATGAGCGTAACGGTGCCCAGTTTAGGTCTGAAAGTTTCTTCCATATTCCTGGACTAGCAGTGTGTAAATAATGCAGTAAGTCTCACCCCGCCGTGCCTTTCTCCCACTTTCTTCCCCTCTCCTAACAAAGCAGATGGTCTACGGGCAGGAGCCTGAGCTAAGGAGGGCATTTCTTATTTTGTGGGGGTTTCTGTTTGGTTTAGAGGACCTTAGAAGCAGTCAACTTCCTTCTGAAATCATTGGTAAATGCCAGCCCTGGGCTTTGAATACTTGAGCCTCCTCCCCAAGGCTGTGGCACAGGCTGGGGGCCCTCCAGCAGGGATGCCCCTTAGCTGACCAGGCAGGGAGAACTTCTCTTCTATTACTAGAAGACTTAAAAAAAAAAGCGGGGGGGGGGGGGGGGGGTTTGGGGGGAGGGCGACTCCTCAGGTGAAATATCCTTCTATTGTCTAACAAAATTCCCTTTAATTTGTCCCCAGGGACACCCAGCTGCCTTGCGATTCCCCACTCATCTCTGTCAACGCCATCCTCTGGGGGGGCTCCCCGGATAAGGGAGTGGGGAAGCTGAAGGTCAGGGTTACCCACTGTGGCATGACTTTTAAGCTAAAGGGGGTTTTATTTCTCTTGTTGCCGTGTCAGGTTTAATTTGCCCTGCATTATTCTAAAAGGGTGGGCCTGCTCATGACAGGAGGGGGTTAAATGGGATTACAAGCTTTAGAGGTTGTCAGCAGCCACTGCTGCCTGGGGATGTTAAATTGCGATTTAATGGTCAGCTTTATCTGTATAGTATCAGTGGAAATCTGCTGTTTTCAGCAACTTAATAGGCACTGTGTTTTCAGGAGGGGCCTTCTGGGGAGGGAAAGGAGCCGGGGGGCAGAGCTGGCCTGTTGTGGGGGGAGCGGGGTCTCGGCGCCCCCCGGGGCTGTTCGGCCAGCTCCGCAGGAGTCTCTCCAGCCAGCGAGCAGCCGGGCCGGGCCGCACCCGCTTCCGCAAGCGGGTCTAACTTCCCACAGGCACTGGGGGGAGAGGAACCAGGCGGCAAGGTCCGGCTGCCCGGACGGGGGCGGCGAGGAGCACGGGGAGGTGGCCGAGGGGACGGCCGGGGTGGGGCAGTGGCGGCCGCCCGGAAACCAAACGCGGCCCGAGGGTGGGGATGACAGTGTGCGATTGTGCATATGCCGGGGATGCTGTGAAGGGGATGAAAGGGGTGTACAACATGCTGAGGGCAGGCGGAGGGGCCTCGCCGGCAAACAGCGGCATTGTCTGCTCGCGAGGAAATCCGGGAAGTTCAGGATTAGTAAATCTAATATCCTGTCAAAATTCTCATGGTAATCAGGCCTGGCCGGCCCCTCCGGCGGCGGCTTGTGAGCCACAGCTTCTGCATGGGCCGAGCTGGCGCGGAGGGACAGCGGATAGGTGCCGGGGCCCTGACGGCTCCCTGCCAGGGCAGCGCTCTGGGCAGAGCCGGTTTAAGTGCTTCTTGGTCATTCTCAAACCCTCCTGCAGCCGCTTGGCCGCAGTGATAGAGGGCAGCGTTTGGGACTTCGTCTCCCGGTGTTGCACTCGGGATTTCTTGCGTTCAAAATAGTAAGAGGGAAGAGAGGCAAAAATCATGATTAACCGCGTACATCCTGTGTTACAGATTGTGTTTCTCTAATTTATGGACTGGTGCGTTTAAAACGGCAGACAGAAGGGGAAGGTGGAAAGAAAATAACAGCGGGAAGCAGAAGGATCATAATAAACAGTGAACCGTGGCCCCAACGGAGTACTTTTTGAGCTGATGGATTATATTAAAATACAGTTCCTATGCAAGTAACAAAAAAAAAAAAGATGGGGGGGAGGAGGGATGGAGAGGGGAGGGGGAAAAAAAAGAGGAGGGGGGGAGTGAAAGTTCCTGTGCACTTTGTTCAAGGTTCTGCACCTCTCTAAGCAGCTGTCACATCCGTACATTATGGTACATTGAATCTGAATGAGGCTCTCCACATCAAAACCTTGCATCCATTATGATATCATCTCCTGCTCTAAGCTGTAATGCTTATTAATTCTGCACCCATACTCTCCAAGCTTCAGCAAATGTATTCCATCAGCCTAGCATTTAATTTAATTAGTACAGCTGGGCTCTCATTCTCCTTTCTGTGTCAGAGGTATTGTCAGCACGTTCTGCTATAACACAATTACTGATTGCTTTTAGATAGGCAGAAATATGATTAGGGTATTGGGTGACTGTATCATAAGCCTTATTAGATTCATTTGAAATCTGGAGATAAATAGGAAACTTTTATTTGCAGTGTAATGAGATTATGCTTATTAGGCCAAGGCCTCACAACCTTTTGCAAAGAACATAGTGTATCACTAGGATTATACTCTGGAACCACACTTTTGCTCATAGCATCCAAGCAATTTCTCAGCAGCTTTGAGATTTAACTGTTGTAGCCCTGTACACATTTTAGAATTGTTCTCTGGCTCAGTGGAATTTCTCCTGTGATAGATTGTGCATACCTTCCACCACTTGTTTTCTTCTGCTTAAACCCAGAAATCTGGGGAAGATGTTTTGTTCAACAGAGGAAAAATGTTTGGGTGAACTGTGGCCATGTGTGGATGAGTAAACATGCTGATACATTGGGCAGAAGAGTTTTTGCCAATGTCAGTCTTTTTATTAAACTCTTCTATTACCCTCAGTAGAAAGCTACAAAAACATTTCAGGATCAGTAGTTTTCAGAAGATAAAAACCATTGCTGTTCAGATATTTAGGAGGTTGAATCTTGATATAGAAATAATGAGTTAATTGTCTTGTGTAAAAATTGTTGAAAAGGCTGCACGTTCCATGTCACTTACAGAGAAAGTACATTAAATCTTAATGTATACATCACAACCTTTTGTATTATACTACCCTGACAAAACACATGGCATACTGTTTAAGAATAAGAGTTACATTTTTAAAAGTTTGTTTATTATAGGGATTCAGAATTCTGATCCAGTAATTTCCCTATAACAATCAAAGGTATAAACAACCTACCACTGACTTGACAGGTTATAGAAAGGCGTCCATCAGTTTTAACATTGGTGTCAAATTTAGGTTTCATTCTGTTTCCACATGAGTTTTGCTACAAACGCCAGTGGGACCAAGATTAGGCCCTTACTCATCTGTTTCCTTTGTGAGCGATACTACCCAGTGTGAAAGCATTTCATAACTGAGCGTGGCAAAATCTGGAACCTAGTTTTGAATTCCTTGTAATTACTCTGAAATTAAGGTAGTTTGTCAGGGTGTTGGTATCTCAGGCTAAGGATCAAGCTCAGAGAGGAAAATGTGCACTGTGTTTGATGTGTACGGTATTTGATTTACATTTGCCTAGCACTGAAAGCATGTCTGCAAGGGTTGGCTTGTCTCTGTCATTAGCAAGCTCCCTGTTGCATACTTTATCTCAGATATTTGTGATATTTTAAAACTGGCATGGGAATAAGCTTTGATGGGGTCAGATGAAACTTCTTAAAGATGACATCTATGTCTTACCTAGTTACTAAGGGAGCATTCAGAGAGTAAGACTGTTTCCATAGCCCACTGAATTCCTTTGCCAATGTGGAGAGATCTTTGGGGTTCTAAGCCCTACCTACATGAGTACTTGTGCAGGCGCATCATTGCACAGTTATGTGTGATTCTTCAACTTGGAAATCTCATGCTATAGCTATAATTTTTTACTTTCCTGGAGAGGAAGATGTATCAGTTTGCAACAGCTATTGATTTGTCCCAGGAGCCATGGTATGTATGCCTAAGCAACAGCAAAAAGCTGTTCTGGTGGAATACTATAATCAGGAGATCTCAGTGCTCTGGAAAAGAAGAGAGGGGTCGCTATCTGTATTTTAGGTACAGGCAGGCTCTGGCACAAAACAGTGAATCAGCTCCAGTTACATGTATGGGAGCAGCAGCCTCTCTAGTGCTGGATCTCCTAAAAAGTCAAATACTGAAAATCCAGTCTTTGAACTATATGTAAGAAACTATTTTATTATTGTATAACTTTATAAAGATGTATGCTGCTTCAAATCCAGGTGTATTTTGAAAAAGAAGTGATTTCCCAGATAGTTTTAGAGGAGAGAGTATCTAGCTTCTTTTGACAACCAAAAAAAGATTAATAGCAACCTTGTTTTATACTGGCTCCAAGAGCAGCAGAGATGACAAATGCTACAATTTTCCAGTATGTTGCTTCATCAAGAAAATATTTTAAAGTATGGTGTAATGGCTGCATGTGAGAATGAACTGGTGGCCCTGTTCATTTGTCTCCCGTCATCATTCTCCTGATT